ACAAGTATCACTGGCATTTGGGGCGCAGCACCACCCAGGGTCCTGGCCTTGGTCAGCGCATTAGCTATGCAACCAGTGTTCTTGGTTTGCAGCAACCCAACCAATCAGCATCTCGTCATTGTACAATCAGCATCGAGACAGAATACTACTGCTTCTTCTGCTTCTACCGCTGAGCATCACCCCTACAGACGGTTTACATCCGTTCACTACGACATGAGTCTGGGAATGCAAAGCCAGAACATCCATTAGAACAAACACCCCAGCGAAGGCTCTGTGTCTGGGGACATTGAACAAGCTCAAATATTGTATCAATGATGTCAATTTGGAATCCACTGGTAAATAAGCCTGGGGGACCAGCTCTCCATCAAGCCACTTCAAATCAACCAAGCTATAGTCACAGGCGAATAAAATACAGAATTGCACAGAAGTATAAGGCCTATCGCGCCTTCTCTTTGCCCGATCGCTTTCCAAAGATCTGCTTCCGTTTCTCGGCCGGCTTCAAAATCTAAAATAGACAACACGTCACCGATATGCATTCGAACCACCCGACTCAATAAGAAACACATATGTATAACTCACCTTAAACGAGCACATAAGATCCTCATCGATATCCAGCATAGCGCCCGCATTATCAAACTCGCCACAATAATTCGGCGCACTGAAAAGTGTTATGAGCTGCCGCTTTGCGAAGAACTCATATCCATCCTGAACACACTCATGTGCGCGGCATATAAGGTCGAGATCATGCTTCTGGATAAATCGATGAACCACATCGGGGCCGAAAGTAAACGATACACCACGGTCGTTCGAGCCCCAGCCCAGAATATTTTTGCCCGGGTCAGCCCAGAGGAGGTCGCATAATAAACCCTCATCAGGGATCTTATTGACGATCAGTACTCATCCTGAACAGAAAACGGGGCCGGGAGCATATGATATGACTCACATCCGTAGGTCGCATAATGCGTCGGATCTGTTCCATAGAATTCAAGTCCGGGCTAAGCCCTCCATGCATACAAAATATCTTGTCTTCTATAATAGCGACAAGAGGGAGACAGTTGAAACAATCGATGAATGTCTTCCAGAGCTTGATATTATACCTTCGTTTACATTCATCGTAAAATCCGTAGATGCGGTTGATGGATGCGCATTCATGATTCCCTCGCAGAATGAAGAAGTTATCCGGATATTTGATCTTGTAGGCTAGTAGGAGACAAATGCATTCTATGGATTGTATGCCGCGGTCCACGTAGTCGCCAAGAAATAAGTAGTTGGATTCGGGTGGAAAGCCACCGTATTCGAACAGACGTAGTAGGTCGTAGTATTGTCCGTGGATGTCGCCGCAGACCTGGTGGCTATCAGTTATCATCTAGTAATTTACAGTATATATGTGATACCAAAGGTCTTACCTTGATAGGTGCTTCGAGTTCTAGGAGTATCGGCTGGGTGAGGAAGATCTCCCGCGCCGTGCGGCAGAGATATTCGATTTCGACCTCGCTTATTTCAACAGGTTTGCCTGGTCGTGACCCCCTTACTGCTACTAACCTTCCAATAAGAGCATCCAAGTTCACGATGTCCTCCTCTGCCATGGTGTTGACTAGGGATCTATAAGCAGCTCTTATACCGAGGGACTCCATCTATCGACAGCAATCGTTGGCGGGGAAGTATGGAGAACATGGAGGCTCTGGCCCGGAACAGCAGATATAAATACAATCTGGGAATAGAATCTCAGAGAAGCTCTTAAGTTTTCCAAGCCAAGATGATATACATACCACCGGGTTGATCCGCTTGTGATAATGTTTCTGTGCAGCTATTTGACAATCGCGATGGATCGTCGACGATATGGGCCAGTCACATAAATTGCTACTCGGATAATCCCAAGGCCTTCTGTGAACGCGCTCACATCGGTACCGAATGAACATAGAGAGAAATTAAGATTTGTCTTACTTTTAAGGTGAACTCCGACATTCCAGTCGGAGTTGAGCCTAACCAATCATGATTGGCAGATCCGTATAAGAGGTTAGTAATGCCGCCACCTTAATTATTCCTCAGACAGGGTTCTATCACAAACTAGTTTCTGCCTATAAGAAGTATTCCGGAAGAGTTTAATTGTTCGTGCACTGCATTCACGTATCTCATGTTATAGAATTTCGATACCCTCTCGGATCTATGAATTCTGCGTACGCGTAGACTTATTCGCAGCGAAGCAATGATAGTTGACATTACGACGAACTCTTATGTTGCAGTGTGGTCTCCCTATTTGTAGAGGAACATTAGGTAAATGAATAGAAAAGAATATTTGATTAAGAGGCCGATACAATTTTTATAGCTTTCATTTGAATGTTTCCAAGGGCCAGGTAGAGGTATAAATGAGTTTTATGCAGCTTGTATAATTGTGCAAGATATACTGCTAGGCATAATGAACAGGCAACAGTGCGTGTGATTAGCTAAGGAGGCTGCCTAGAATCCATCTCTTGGCACTCAAATCAGGTCCGCAGATTTTCGTGTGGGTCAGTTGAGGGTCCAAGTTCTATTGAGCAAACCCCTACTTAGGCTAAGTATACATTAGTGGCCAGTCCGGATGGGAACTATGTTAGTCCGCGCATCAATTAATATATCGCTGCACAGGATGCCCCGCTAACAAGATGCAAGTTAACTATTGCAATGTGAAAGCGGCCAGCTTTGGTCATATCTTTTCAAATCCCTCTATCTGCCCGATCTTGCTAGCCAACTGTACTCGTTCCGCAGGATGTCCAAGCCACCCCAATATGATGGGTTTTCCTGTTTGCCTACTGAGCTTTTCGAAACGCTGCTGTCATATTTAGATGTCGACACGATAAAGGCTCTGCGTCTCACATGTAACAAGCTTGCCAAAAGATGCATCGGCCCTCGATTTTTAGTGTTCATTCACCAACCTCTGCTCGATGTCACATCGGAGAATCTTCGATCTCTTCTTGCCTTGGCTCGCAATCCCGATCTCAGGAAGAAAGTTCATTCTATTACCCTCTTGGCTACGATCATGGATATCTCCGGATTGGAGCAGAACGTCAAGGATGGATACTATACAGTAATAATGGTCGATGGGCCCAGGTGGAGAAGGGTCGAAGTTGACTATTCTCCTGAGGAACTTTCCAACGCGAAAGACGATCTGATAAGGTTAGTAGAACAGAAAGAAGCAAGAAAAAACGAGACACCAAGCGAGCTGGTTAAACTTCTTGAACATGTGCTTCAAACGTTTGGTGAATTGGATGCCATCCACTTGGATGGTGCGGTTGTCCGGGGTCGCAAGGAGAGAAGATCCATTGAGTCTGGAGAGTGGATGCCATTGTGGACGCGAGCTGCGCAAGTTTTCTCATGGGTTACGAGGGCGCTGGTACAGAGCCAGGCATCGGTGAAGAGATTCGACATTTATCAGAGTAATCGCAAATGCGGAATCGAAGCCGCTAATATTGGTAACCGCAGCTTAACGCATGACCCAGCAGAATTGGGAATGCCTATTAAAGGGTTGCAATCGCTCGAGATGAGCTTATCTGGGGACGTACAGGATGCTTTGGACTATCGCGAAAGACGGGAAGATACAAAGGAGGCGGAAGAAAAGATGGCTCGCATAACCAAGGAGCAGGACTCATATGGGACACCGAGGCTTCCGTCATTCTTCCTCAAGTCTACACCCTCTCTCCGAAAGCTGGAACTTTCATTCCGTCAAACTGCCACACTAGGTTCAAAGTCGTTTAGGCATAAATATGACTGGATTATTCACAGTATCGCCCACGAAGCCCAGTTCCCACTGCTGGAAGAGTGCACCCTTGCCGGGTTTTCAGCGAGGAGCGACTCAATCTTGGTCCTTTTTCGGAAAACCCCCGGTATCAGGTCCTTGAAAATTCACGAATGCCACTTGAGCTCTGGGTCCTGGACGCCAATCTTCGCTCATCTGGAAGCGTCGATGCCAGAACTCCAGACCCTAGACCTGTCGAACTTGTGGGGAAAACACATGCAAAACATGAATCACGCACAAGCGCATGAGGGAGATGGTAATGATAATAGCAGGCAAGAGGAAGAGGATGACTGGCAGGAAGGCGATGGTTTGGTTATTTGGCATACTAATCCCAGACCCCTTCGGACAAGATACACGTCAACCACAGGGAGCGGTGTACACACCATATGCTTCACTCGCGAGGAAATAAAAAAGGGGCTTGTTTCCCGGCCCCTGAATCCTGGGCCAGGTCGAGTCAAAGGCTCCGCTGAGAATTGGCGGTGGCGGAAGAATCGGCTCACGCTATATGGACCTCTTTCATAGGATAATAAGTTGTCGCTCTAGGCAACTCTTGTTTCTCTTTGCTTCTTTGCCTCGCCTGGATTCGTCCGAATTACGATTGGAAGGGCCGTGATTATGGCTCGAATGAAGACAAACCCGATCAATATATGACTCATTGAATATGAGTTCGGAGATGCCCAGACGATAATGCTATTATATTTATAGCGCTAAGCAGGTGGGACTGTGAGATGCAAATATCTGATAGTCTTGCAATAATAGTGGAATAACTAGTCCTCCAGCGGTAGACTCCCTGCTAAGAATTTCGACGCTGGACTCAGGCTCGCTACTAAACATGCACATCCGGGCATAGTAGCGGCTCTTTTTGATGCGGGTGTGTCTATGTCTCCTAGTGCAATAGGTTGCCTCTGCGGGCATGAGGGGAGACAGGACCCCCGCGTCATTCGCCTCTACTTCGATCGTGGCCTGGAGCCTAGAGATTGTATAACAACTAAGGGCGAGCCTCTTCTGCGGTAAATATACTGTGACCCATTGTTAGCCAGCATTGCGAAGACTAAGTCGTGAGTAATGCAGGTTTTATTCGGTTGACTGCGCCAGGGAATTACTCGAGAGAGGTGTCAACCCTCACCGATGCGGTCCAAGGGTGATAAGCCCTCTTGCCAGCTCCTTGGAGATAGTTCACGAGGACGGCGGAGCTACATTCGACTTGCTTGTGCAATGTGGGGCAAAAATGGATCCCGGTCTTCTATTTGATGCTTTTGTTTGGGGCAGCGATGCAGCTATCAAATTTCGTTTTCTTCTCTCCAGAGGTCTTGATCTTACCACGACGATTGCTGGAAAATGGGGCATGCCTCTACATGTTGCAGCCCTTTTCGCCGATAAGGAGGTTATAAGGATACTCCTCGATCTGGGAACAGACCCGACCTCCCGGTCATACTGTACAAAGTTCAAGAACAATAGCCCTGTGGAAGTTGCCGAGTGGAAGATGCGAGCTTCTCATGAAGGCTCTTCTACAAAGCGCACGTATGAAAGTGTAATGGAGCTTCTCGAGTCTGAGAAAGAAGGACGTATTGTTTGCCAATTGCTGTATCAGAGAGGCCAAATGCTGAGAACAGTACAAAGCCGCCTGAAACGAAGAAAGAAGAAAGAGATGTACAGCGTGCTAATGACATTACGGGTTGGTCGGGATCTTCGAATTGTGGAACAGTTTTACTAGAGCGTCCCGCACGGGGCCAAAGCACCAGGAAGAGGCAAGCTTCATTGGATGGTAATATTAGCAGCCGAACACGGAGTCGGACCAAAAATGTACCATAGTTGGATATTTGCCGTATGGTTCTACCTGTGATGGCTGCGAGGATGATGGATTGCCCCATCAGGGAATACATGCCGCAGAGCATTCAGACCTTTTGATAATAGTAAGAGGTTATGCGCGTGCGACTAGATGGAAGTTATGATCAACTAGCTGGTTTAAATTAGACTTGAGTGATGCAATAGGAGGATGTGCTGGAGTAATGTCAGAGAATGCACCCTTTTATGGTCTCCAAATTCATGATCATTTAATCATACTTCAAGGTTCATAAATATCTGATGGTTAGGATAAAGTTTACTCAAAGAGGCATCTTGTGTATGGCATTACATGGGTGACCTAATGAGGCAGGAGCTACGTTATGGATCCAATATGTGGCTCAGTCTTAGTGATTACTCCCCATAACCCGCATTACTTGGCGAAGCAGTGACGCTGAAACTACACACGTATCCAGGTGACTCTCTTACACAGTTTGAAGAATTATTGCGTCAATCTCGAGCGTTCACCTCTGTTGGCATTTTGCCTCTCACCTGGTTTTGCCTGAGGAATGAGGCGATGGTGAGTAGTAGCCTTTGATATGTGAACCTAGACGCGGGCTTGGCAGGAGGCTTAGATGGTGGCTTAGACCGCGCCTATATAGCCTAAATGCAGCCTTAGCTTGTGGACATAATTAGGGGAGTCGCTGTGTACCGAAATCTTGTACCTAAAACTTCTCGGCCTCGAATTACTTTTGCGGCTGACTGACGAATACACCAGACTGTACGTCACTCATGATGGCCAATACGGCAGGGTTTATCCATACCGTGCTGCCTTCCAATGGACACTACATTCGACTTTTCAAATTCGAGTCTACCGCCCCTGAAGAACCTCTCAGACTTTCTCTCAAGACATGCAAATTCGCAGAGAAACCCGACCACAACAGCCTCTCTTATGAATGGGGTACCACCGCGGCTGACCAACCGATCCTCGTCAACGATCGGCTCTTCTTCATCCGGGAGAATCTGTACAACTTCCTGAAGGTATTAGCCGGCAGTGCTTACAGAGACACTTATTTCTTCGCGGACGCAATCTGTATCAATCAGAATAATATCTCCGAGCGTAACACCCAGGTCCAGCGAATGGGCGATCTTTTTGCAGATGCAGAAAACGTGCTGGTATGGCTTGGACCAGCCACAGCCGAGAGCGATCTCATCTTTGATGTATGCATTGATTTGACGGTAAACAAAACCATCGCCCCAACTAAGCTGGGGAAGAATAAGGCACAGATCGACGCCCTGGATACGATATACCAACGGTCCTACTGGACCAGGCTGTGGATAATCCAGGAGCTATTCCTGGCACGAAACATCATCTTATTTTGCGGATCAAAATCGACAGCGTGGTCGGCCTTTAAGCAGCTGCCGAGGTGGAACAAGCGCGACTTTGCCCTTGGAGGCTTTACGGGAGTTGATATGGTTCTTGAGAGCACACCAGCAGGCCGCCATGCAAGGGATATTCTAGATGAGTTGGACAAGAGGGGCCAGGGAAGAAGCACTTGTACAAAGATGGGACTTGTAGATATGATTCTGAAATACGGTCTGGCTCAATGTTCCGACGTTCGCGATCATGTCTATGGCCTACTTGGCCTCGCTAGTGTATCTTGTGCATCCAGCAAAGCCGAGGAAGGCCGAGGACTTGGGGTCATTGTGGACTATTCGGAGAGCCCAATGTGCCTATTCGTGCGCCTTCTGCGTACCATGCCGCGTGAACTCCGTATTGGAACCGCGCTGGGGCTCTTCAACGTCCTGGAGCTGCAGCGTGCTTCTGAAAGTGCGATTATTGGAAGCATTCCAGATATAGACCTGAGTCAATTTTTCGAGATCAGCTTCACCCATATAGGACATCTCAGGAATGTGACTCAGTCCTCTGACAAATCCCTACACCAAGGGCTGGCGGGGAAAAGTTTCGCGCAGATACAAAAAGGCGAAAGGCAAAACGCTATGGCAATCTATGGCGGTGGGCCTCTATATAGTATTATGTCGTATGACAGCTGTGTAACCGCGTCTGGGGCTTGTGGAGGGGATGACGTCTTCCTTCTGGAAGGTACCAACTTCGTCCTAATCCGACATTATGATGAATGGGGCGGTACGTCAGGTTACATCCGAGGTCTTCTCTGCAGTGGAAAAAGCGAGCAAAGTATCCAGAGAGCAGGCAAATCTCTAGATAGCTTCCTCTCCTATTTACCATCCATCAATGGTAATTGTCTCAGGTCTGAGAGGCATACGATGTGCAAGCTGGCCGGCCCGGTTGACTTTGTCTATGAGGAGCTGAGTCTGCGACAGATTATATTCCTCCTTACATATACCGGACAACATAGTGACCATTGGAATCGGCAGTTAGAGGCCTCTACTAGGGAACTAATGAGCATCAGGGTGGGCTAATCTCTGCTAAATATTCATATACTATCAACGGCCAGTCTTTTAAACGAAACATGTGAAAGTCTGTCCCACATTAGGTGCTGCTCCTATACCCTTGTCCAATCAATGTCATCAGTGTTGCAAAGTTCATGAGCGGAGGCCGGTGCGGAGGAATCCTGGCTGGTGTGGCAGTAGTAGTGCCCCCCTATGTAAATGTGCTTGCCGCTGTGGTGGCTTCGAAAAATAATAAGCATCAATCGATGATTAAGCGAAGTAGCATCGCAGCCAAAGCACTCAAAGGACCTTCCAACTGCTGACTGCACATACATGCGTTGTTGATTACACACACAGACTTGGTTCTGATTTCACCCGCACGTCACTCTGATATGGTATCCGCCAGGTTAATCAGGCACGTTTACCATAGTACTCATCTCATCTCCTTCGTGATGTTGACACACTTACACAATACAAAGACTGCTTCTATCATGTTCCTGCGTGTGACGGATTTCTTTTTTCTTCTCCTTCTACAACCAACACCAACCTACCAACAACGAAGATAGACCTTGATCCCGCTCTCACGTACACGTACAGTCTTTGCGCTGCAACACACCAGCATTGGCCACGATAATTAACTTCCATACGTATCTTTCTTAGACACAGTTGAGGTACATATAGTCTTGCTTCTAGCTACGGAATCTTCCTCATACCAAAAGGACGACCCAAACACCACCCTCTACTCACGAATCGCTCGATAAGAATTTCGCCTAACCTCTTGGCTCCGTTCTAACATGGCTTCTTCATCGCGTACCACCGACGGCAAGCCATTTTGCCGATCGACAATACCTGTTAAAATATTGAAAGAGAGGAGCAAGCAAGCCAAGCACCACTTCTACACACTGATAGATTCCGTCTTTCGGAAAACTCGATTGGAAACGCCACAGCGAAGCATACCACCGGAGGTGATTGAAAGAATATTGGCGCTGCTGCCCACCCCGACCAGATTTGCTTTGGCTTGAGTTGCAAATATACCTTTGCTTGTCTGTAGCGATACCTTAAGACGCAAGGAATGAAACTTTGCCAGCTTCTCCCGCCCGAAGAACGGGTGATGCTATGCCCCAACGCCAAGGAAAGGCCTCGAGTACAGCTACTTCTTCAGCTTCACAATTACCGCTGGAGATAATGCCATGTTTGTTGGACGCTTCATCCAAGCTCTCTCTGTCACGTCCGGCTGCAAAAGCCATGCTGTTTCAAAAGTTACTTCTTTAAAGGAAACTTTCAATATACGCCGTATGCGGGCGAGGTCAACATCTGTCCGGGCACCAGCATCACATTTCGCGATAAGCTTCATTTGATACGACAGTGTAAGGACACTCAAACACATACACTACGTCCGGGAGTGATAATATTTGGCGATAATGTCGCATTGAATGCTGACAGCAGGAAGCCATATGAAATCTCAGACATGACTGCGAGTTTACAGGCCATTCTTCTATCAGGGTTCGAATTAGGACTGATTTTTGGCTTTCTGAGATGGACATGAGTACATGCGTGATTACCCAATATGAATTCAAAACACTCCACGAAAGTCCATCAGCAAGCTTGAGCACTATCCCAGTGTGCTCATACAAGGATACAAAGAACTGGGTCAGGAGAGTCTTCCATGATGGTGGATCGAGCTTTAGAGGCTGGAACAAAAGCCGCTCTACGCGCTGATTATAGCATCGTGGCTGGGAAAGGGTGAAATCTGGGGAAGAAACATACACTTCCCAGGTAATGAAATTCAGAAATCTAGGCGATTGGAAATGGCCTAACAAAGCTTGGGCTAACCACAGCAGTCACTGATGCAGTACTTGCTTCTACAGTCTTACGCATCTGAAGTATACTGTGAGATCCCCCTAGCTACTAGCCATAGCTCTAGCTTCTCCAAAAATGCATTATATCTGTAGCAAGCCCCTGTTTGATAGACTCGTTCTCAACGGATGGGATGTTCGATGACTCTACACTGCTTACTCACAAAAGCTGAATACCCCGCGTCCGCGTCCCTCCACGGAGTCGACACTGATCCACAAGACGAAGGTTTGAGCTACGGCATGACCGAACCTAGATCCGTCGATCCTCGGACCGCGTTCCGGAAGTTACTCTGGAATAGAGTGCCAAGCTAGCGCCATGCATGACAATTCCGGCCCCATTTGCGGTATCCGGTAATACGGAAACCAAGTCACCTCTCCTAAGTATAACATCGGTGTATACATTCCAGAGAATGCATTCCAAAAGAAGAACACCGATCTTTTCTGGGGCTCGTCACATCAGTACTACCTAACATGAATTCTGATATATTCCCTGAACCTCCATCCGATACCATCGGTAAGTCTCGTACCATTGTCCCACCCCCCCTATTAAGGACTCCGCATTCCGATCCCGTGCGCTAACCGGTCCAGCAGAATGGTCTTCTCTTGGAAGCCAAAGCATTGAATGTACGTTCTCTCCCTATCTGACAGTCCCGCGATTATTGGACTTTTACGAAGGAAGCTAAGTGATATTTTATCCAATGCAGTTCCCACTTCTCATGTGGAATGCACCTACTCGCCCGCAACAAGCTCCTGGAGCGCACCCACCGTGATCAACAATCCAAATCTCCAGATAAACGGCTTCGCCGTGGGATTAAACTATGGAGGACCATATTATGAGTCCCTTACCGGTAATATATTGCATTCCTCTCTTCTCACCAAAGTAACTCAGCATACTGATTGCAGCATCTGCTAAAAGCCCGACGCACGCGAGATAACCGCATCCTTCTCTTCCGGCCCCACGATCTTGGCGGATGCTGCAGCGGCGGTAGGCATGACGGCTGTCCCCGAGCACATCTTCCTAGAGTGTGTTAGGAAGGTAGTAGCAGTCAATACTTCCTATGTACCTCCGCCTCACAGGGATGCGTTGCTCTACATTCGCCCGCTTCTGTTTGGGCCCAGTGTTCCTCGCATTCGCGATTCTCTCGCGCAGTCTACTTTCTGTGTGTTTGTGCGGCCGGGGGTGGTGTATCCGCGGACGGCGGCGCAGAACGCAATACTTCTGAGCAATAGTGGTTCTGATGATGGTCCCACTGCAGCGGAGACGCAGAAATACTCTGGAACTGAAGCCTGGGATGAGGGGTGGAAAAGGGGCTTGGGGGGTATAGGGCAGCTAGATGGTCGACAGGCAGAACGGGATGGTTATACTATGAAGCTCCAGCTGGAATACTCCCGACGTGGGACATTCATCAACGGCTTCACGACGTCCGCATTTATTGGGGTGCAGGAGGAGCACGGTAAGTATACGTTAATCGTTCCGAGACATCCCAGCCGTAGTATCATTAGCGATTCGTGCGTTGCCATTGCTATACGGCTTGGGTGAAAGGTGAAGGTTGGGCCGGTATGTATTCTGCTGAACACATCAGTCCCCTTGCACTCTTCGTTAAATCCATTCTGCTGCTAGTGGAATGACTACGAGAAATGGCGCTGATCTGATGTCGTTTCAGATTACGGTCGATGACATCGATACGCTGTCCGAAGTCATTGCCACCAGTACATGGCACTGGCTACTCCCCATTCGATTGATCTACTATCCATCGGCCCGACAGACAGAAGTCTACCAAGCTGGGTCTTATCAGGCGGGCTCTTCGTGTCGGCTGCTGCGCAATGCGATAACAAAAGTCATGGCTGGGGAAGTCTCGGACGTATGGCAATGGAGTGTGCCAGTGACGCAGGAGGATCGACTTCCTGGTTGAACGGCGGCATGAGTGGAATGCGGGTAGATCTAAGCGCATAAGCACGCTCCTCGCCGTATTGATTCGAGCTGAAATTCCATTCCTCCCCTCCCCCCGTCGGCTGGAAGACGCCACGGTGTCTAAAAATTCCGGTGGTCTAGCTAGCTTTTCCTCAACTGGTGCTTGTCATCTCCGTTCAAGACCGCTCATGTATGTATTTTCTTCCCATGCCCCTGTAGAAGATAAAAATATCCCCATTTTGTTGGATTCCGTAGATGGCATGGTATCTGGGCCCTTCAAAAACGTTGTGTGATAAATGGTAAAATGCATCACGGCGATGATTATGAAGCCAGCCAGTCCTACAACAGTTTGCAATTGTCCTGGAGTTCCCTCCCACTGGCATTCGATATTCCTCTAGGTTTTGATGATACTCGTATATGTGATTACTCACACGTGTATGGCCACCAGTCAGGTTCTCCACGTTTGGGCCATATCGACATCGCCAGTCGAGTGATGCGGACATGCTTTGGGAAACCTCAACCAGCGACCCCTGGCCAACATGATGCACAGTCGATTTGCCGAATCGTTTCTACTCTGAAGTGAACTGGCCTAAAGGACTACTTTGAGTCTCGGCCAGTGCGGATTGTACCAGAGATGGAGGGAGAGATTGAGCACGCATCACCGAGTTGGAATTCTGGCTAACTGTCATTCGGTAGCCGAGCAAATGAACTGGGGATCAGAAGGGGGAACGAGCGAGCAGCTGTGCCGGACCGGGCGTTGGAAAAGGCTAACCCTTGTGAAAAAGATTTTTGGCGCTGGTGTGGGTCAGTGGGCCCCGGCTAGGACTTACGGCCAGGCCCGACCCTAAACTGTGGCTAGCTATGGTCTTCCCAGTCCGATCTACGTGGCGTTCAATAGTAGAGGACCGGACAATACTGGAGACAGGGATGTGGTTACTGATTCCTTGATTATACTTACCTTTTAAAGCAGGTGTGTGCGTAGCGTGAATAGCGTCCATGCAGTGGGGTGTGCCCGGCCATCCTGCCTGCATGGTAAATGTAACGTTGGTCCGGGGTGATTCACCTGGTGCTTATGTTTGCGGAGGAGCACGGCTTTAACCACAGGACATCTCGACCGGTGACTAGGCACACGTTACAAATTGCAAGCCGCTCTCACTAGCTACCGACGTCATACAGCAGGTTATTATCAGTCAAACATTCCAAGTACCTGCGAGTCTGGCTAAGCCCGCCAATAGCGCCGAATGGGCACAGTTGCCTGCCAGTCGATGCAATCCACGCCTGTCTGTCCGTCAGCCTTTCTATTGGCCGAAGGCGAGCAGGTTGGCCCCCGATGCTAACCTCGTTGGATGCCAAATCTCTCGAACTTCAGTCATTACAAGAATATCTCGCTCGTGCGCGATAATCGGAGATAGGCGATGCACTGCTGCAGTGACTGTACCCACCTACCCAATACGAAGAGGCAGGCTGCCCTAGCAGGAACCAGACCCCGCCTTCCTCTTTTCCTGTCAATCCCGATCAATCATCCCATAGACTTGTTTGCATTCATAGGAATTTGCTCCCGTGATGCATTGATATATTCGCGTTCTTTGCTTTTTGCCTCCACGACCAATCCCAGAAAGACCACTTTGGGCATTAGGAAGAATTTGGTGATGGCACAATGATCAGAGCGTAGAAGCATATGACACTGATGTTGGCGTTGATGGGGCGGACTAGGCTGAGAACTATCCTAGACTAATTGTGAGCAACCAAATCCCGAGAGGGGAGGTGTGAAGACTCGGAAGGTGCATACTCTGTTCCATGTTCTCGTGCCAAAGGTAGTACGTAACTCCCCAAAGCTGGCAGCGCCCGCCTTTACTAGGCCTGCTGTTTATCTTTGAATTGCGTCTTCGACGAGACTCTTTGCGTGATCTTGTAATCTACGGAAATCTGCTGTGCCGTGATAGAAGCCACGAGGCATCATGAATGGAATCCGCAAGGGTATTACACGACGAAGAGGCGCCTGCGAGCCGTGCAAGGCGCGGAAGACTAGATGTCAGTTCCCGGCGACGTCCCGCCTCTTGCTATCTTCTTTATCTGCCTCTTCTGATATAGTGAATCGTGCCAATTGGCAAGATAGCGTGATTCAACTCCTTCGTTGTTCGCAAGCTGACCAAAGCTCAACACCGTAGGTGATGGAGGAATTCCTTGCATGCACTGTCGGGTAAGTTCCCACCTTGTCTTCCACATTTCGTACGCATCCCTCTATCCTGACAGCACAGCTTCCAGAGGAAGGATAGCCCTTGCATCTATTCACAAGTTCCAGCACCAGCAAGTTCCATCTGCACCCCTTCGCGGCTCAGTCCCGTCTTGAGTCTATTCGAGCGTGACCCAGATCTGCCGTTACAGCACTCAATCAGCCCTCAGGGATGGATAGAGACAATCGCCTCGGGTTCTTTAGACTTTTCCTGTTGGGAACTTCCCGATGTATCATGCAACCCTTGCCCGGACTGGTCGGCTGATGGCTCGGTCCTGGGAGGCCCATCCGAATCCGAGCCAAGCCCTGCTACTCTGCGTCCGCCTTATGGTGACACATCAGCGAGCAGGTTGAATCATGAACAAGGAGGTAACAGAACATTTTCTATTCATATGGTAAGGTTCTATTAGATCCTGGGACTAACGTTGCAGCCAAAGCTGATTTATGACAGTTGCAAAAGGAGTTTCAGAGTACAGTGATCCCCACAACTTTCGATTACAACTGGCATACTCATCAAGTACAATAGCTCGCCAAGTAACTCCAGGCTTCGATATACCGGCGCTATATTCCTTTCGAGGTCTCCTCGACTGTGATCATCCACGCGGTGAAAAGGTGAAACGAGCCGCAGAGCTTCTCAACTGCCATATTGTGAGCGATGAAAAGACATGCTATCAATTGCCTGACGGTCAAAAACCATCGCTGGGACCGATCCTCGACAGTGAGCCGCGAATCAGTAGCTACATACAAGGTAAAGATCATCTAGCTTCCAACGATCTTGCGTTTATGTGGGAGTACAACCAGCATACTAATGACTTACAGCATGTTTTGAAACACCCTGGTAGGTTGCCTACAACTTACGGAGAGACCCCTGTACTTAGCTGATAGCCTGTAGTGCTGGTGTCAATATGTTCCTGACTATGGCAAGTGCTCAGGAGTGTGTGGATGCTGTGCTGAAAACCAACTGCTCCGATCGAGCCACGGTGGTGGTGGCCTATGCCGTCCTGGCATTGGGCTGCTATCTTGTAAGTATACATTCGGGTATCAAAAGTGCCGTGGAAGGCATGTCAAGGGCCACTGGATATTTTCGACGAGCGTTGTCAGAATCGAACTATCTGATAATGGAGAGCGCGACTGTTCGGGCATTTCAGGCAAGTGTTCTGCCCCGATTTCCAGGTCGATACAGCTGACGTTTCCATCCAGGGGATTCTGATCATGGTGAGTCGGCTCAGGGGTGAAGCCGAACAAAACAAGATTAACCAGTGGCAGATCATCTTCGCAGACAAATCCGGTCATCGTACCAAATCCCGTCTCGTCAACCTCGGTGTCCAGTTCGCGCAGGATTTGGGACTTCACAGCTCTCGGCGCCTGCGGCAGCTTTGCACCGAGGCCGACGAGCCATTGCTTAAGAATGCATTCTGGCATCTCTATGCCATTGAGAAAACCGACGCGGTGGACAGAGGCCGACCTTCGGTGAGAATCCTTCCTCACCAAAGAAGAGAAAAGATAATCTAATATTCAACTCTCTAGATTATGTGCGACAAGCTCACCGACTATTCGCCCAGTGATGGATTCCAGAACCCTGATGAAGCGCGGTTGATGCTTCAATGTTTATACGGACGTGTCTGCGATCGTGTGATAGATTCGCTCTATAGCCAAGCAGCCCTCCGAGCGCCACGAGTTGACATGTGCCGTCAGATAGAAGATGCATATTGCCTGGTTCAATCGTGGCTTGGTATCCTACACACATATAACAATTCGCTCAATTGTTCTTCCAGGCACTCCTCTTTCCTCGAGGAGCACATGGAGTCAGAGACGCATTTGGGCTCTTATTTCCTTACATTCTTGATTCATGGAAAATGGCTCCAACTCGCGCAGCAGGGACTGGCTACTGAGGAGAGAGAGGCCTATGAGCGAAGTGAGGCACGATGTCTCGCTGCGGCGCGGTCGGTATTGGAACAATGTAGCCAGTACACACATGTCGAGATGCTGGCTAATATGTAAGGCCACCCCAATAAGTTCGTTGATAAGCTGGTCGACTAACCTCGAGTTAGGAGATTTCGTTCGCTTCCAAAAATCGCGGCATGCATTCTGGTTCTTATAGGGCAACCGTGCGACCGATTGGATGAAGAGCGGATGTACCTGCACATGGCATCTGGATTTTATAGTCGTCTTGCCATCTTCATGCCCGTCCAGTTAGGTTTGTTGATGGAGTTGATGGATGTATCGGCGTAGCAATGAATGCGAGACGGGCTACTATCATAAGCAACGCCCATGAACATCAAAGTCAATTACAAACTCATACTCCACAAGCAACCGAAATTTCGCTGTCGTAGTAAAATAACTGATGATCTAAAAAAAGAAATAGCTAAATACAAAAAATTTATAAAGTAGTCCGTCGATCACCAATTCTTATCTTATCACCCCAAAGGTAAACCCCCAAGGTCCCTAATTTATAAGACTGCAAATGTTGGTCATTTCAACACAATCAGTCCTCAACTTTGCCAAATATTTTCCATGGTCCAACTTGCAGATAATAATGTCGTTATCCAGCAATGCGGGTTGCGGTTATGTCTCCAAAAACCTGACCGCAACACGGAGGATGTAAGACCTGCCGATACAGAAGCTTCTTCGATCCCACCCACTGATAACTGACAATCAGAGCCGATTTCGGAGTCCTCCCTCTTCTCACCATCGGCTTCGCAACCTACCAGATTGACCGAACAAATATTGCCAGTGCACTAACGGGAGGTTTCGCATCGGACATTGGCATAAGCCAAGACATCATTAATCTAGGAAACCAGCTAATGTTCTTGGGCGTTATTGTCCTGGAAATACCATCCAATATGGTCCTACAAAAGGTACTTTTATTCACTTACACCGCACGCATACACGTTATCCTGTGAATTCAAATAAGCTCAGTGTACCTGTACTAGGTCGGACCCCGCCGCTGGATCAGTGCCCAAGTCTGCATCTTCGGAGTCATTGCCGCATTGCAGATCTTTATTCGGAATAAGACTGGCTTCCTGCTTACGCGAAGCATACTGGGTCTCGCGGAGGCCGGGTACATCCCAGCTGCTATGTACACTCTTTCAACGTGGTATACGAAAGAGGAGTTGACGAAGCGCATTGCAGTGTTCTTCTTTGGAATGTTTGGGGGTGCTGCAGTGTCGCCGTTACTTGGTGCTGCTTTGCTCAAGCTAGATGGGCAGGGAGGGTTGCATGGTTGGCAGTGGATATTCTTGCGTGAGTACTGATTTTTTCCGCCATTGGCCGCTATGGAATTTTACTGATACCAGTAGTCGAAGGAATCTGGTCGGTCCTTATGGCAATTGCTTTGTTCACGCTACTGCCGGAGAGAGAAGGAATTGCTAGTGAAAGCTCTGATGAAGAGTCCGCCTGCAAAGCCCAGTCATGGAACGGGTCCACCTCTGAAACGATTCCTGTCAAGGTGGTATGGGAGACACTCACAAACTATACCAAATGGCCCCATTTCCTCGCCACAGCATGTGTCTTCGCAACCTGGAGTCCCCTCACTACGTACACTCCGACGATCATCATGTCACTGGGGTTCTCTCGCATCCAGGCAAACGCTCTCGCTGCGATAGGGAGCTTACTCACACTACCCGTCATTGTGTTCTTCGCATCTCTGAGTGACTGGTCTCGCAGACGGGGGATGAGTGTCAGGCTTGCAATTGCTGTGTATCTCGTCGCACTCGTTCTGTTGAGAGTTTTGCAGGCACGGGTCGACAGATGGGGACGGTTCGGCCTCTGGACGACTGTTAATGGGCTGGCGGTCGGGTATCATCCTATTCATAATGCGTGGATTCAGGTTAATTGCTCTAGTCCGGGGGAGAGGAGTGTTAGTGTGGCGTGAGTTTATTATTCCTGTTTGATGTCTTGCCATAATCACTAACCTGGCGGGTAGGATGTGTACTTTACCCCTGGTTTGAGGATTGGTATGTGGATGCTGAACATGATTTCTAGTTGTCATGTCTGCCACGGCTGGTCTCATGGCAGGGACGCAGATCTTCCGAAGTGATGATGGTTTGAATGGGTAAGTTTTCATCATGCAAGACAGGGAGCTACATAGTCTGATGCGACATTCACAGCTATCGAAGGGGAATACTGATCATGATAGTTTTGGTCTTATCCGGCTTGATCTTGGTGGCTTTCCAGAGTGCGATTTACCGCACATTAAATCGTTCAAGGAAGAGTAGCATCGTCCAGCAGACTTGATCCACCGTCCTTGACGAAATTGCTTTTACTTTGTACCTAAATACACAAGAGCAGCATCTACAGGACCTCATTCCTTCTGCTTTCGATATTGTCCTGCTCTTCCCTATTCTTCACCCCCGTCTTAACCGACTTCCACTCCGGCACAAACGTTGCTAAGACCGCCACGCCCGCCAATGCAACCGAGATATAAAACGTCCTCACCACCGCTTCGTTATACGCCTCTAACGCCTCTCCCAAATACTCGGCGGGCACTAGGTCCCTAACCTCCGTCGCTCCCGCAGCGGCCACACTGCTCGCGTCTACACCAGGAATATTCCTAGTGGTTAATCTCTTCACCAGCTCATGCTGAAAAACATTCTGCGCCACGATTAGGATAAGAGCACCTCCAAGCGTCTGATAGAATATCATCAGCGCTGTACCAACAGGCACGTCTTTAGCGGGCAGTGAAGCCTGCATAGCGAGGACAGTTTGCTGCGCCCCCATGCCAATCCCAGCACCCATGATGACTTGGTAGCCAGCCCATTTGACGGTCCCAGTGTCCGGAGTAAAGGTGGTCATCAGGGCGGTGCTGATGAGCACCAGGATACAGCCCAAGATCATAGTGGGAGGGTAGTATCCCATGGCGGAGACTAAGGCACCGCTGAGAATGGAGAGCACAATCAGCGATGCGAGCATGGGAAGGTTCATAATATCTGAGCGTACGGCGGACGCGCCTTTGATAACCTGGAACCATATCGGGAGCTGTTTGGGAGCAGATGTTTGTTAGCCGTGGGAAGCACTCTTTCGCTCTTTAAGAGCGAAGAGGATGAGGGCTTACATAGTACACGAGAATATAAAATGCAGCTCCAAGCATAGCGCTATATAGACCGCAGCTCCAGACATTCCGGCTTCCAGCTACCCTTGGTGGGATCATTGCCATTTCTTTCTTTTTGGCCTGCACAATGCAGAAGGCCACCAATGTGACGCCAAAGATCACGAACAGGGCGATAATGCGACCGTTGCTCCAGTGCCATTTGCCCCACCCCATTCGATGGCCAGTAGGAGACAAATAATGCAGGCGCTGAAGAGTACTGTGCCTTCAATATCGAGCTGGTCTAATCGCTGTTTTAGTCGGCTGCCTTTCGTTGCATCAGGGACAAAGGTAGGAGAGGGCGCATGGAACAAGAAAAGGATGACCACGGCGCCGACTCCGCCCAGAGGGAGGTTTATGTAGAAGCACCATCGCCAGGAGACCTTGTCTGTGAAAGCCCCGCCCATCCTATAAACATTCATTCATCAGCAATGAACTCTATACCCCTCCGAGAGGTAAATTGAGAGAAGGAGTATATCTGACAATGGCCCAGCAACCGCTGCAGCGCCCTTCAACCCCCCAAGAATACCCAGAGCCGTTGCCTGAAGCCGCAAAGACACACTCGCAGCAATGAGTAAGATAGTCCCCGAAAGAAGCCCTGCGCGCCTATTCCTGTGATGGCTCGACCAAGTATCAAGCCAACCGAGGTGGGAGTTGCCGCCGACACGACGGACCCGATTTCGAAGATTACCAGATTTGCCATGTAAACCCATTTAATGGAGTACATGGTACACAGCCGACCGTGGAGGATCTGCGTGGCGCACATTGTCAGTAGGTAGGCCGAGCTGTACCATCCCATATCGTCGAGGGAGTGGAAATCGTCCGTGATGACGGCGAGAGCAGGTGCAAGTATCGTGTTGTCCTGTCAGAGCGTCAACACATTAGCTCTGACTTTGTGTACTAGTTGACCGCGTTGAAGCATAGAGAATTTAAATAGTACCAGCGCAACTGCAAACATCACCAGATACAGCGCCAACAATATCACAATTTGGCGCCATTGTGTCGGTGCGTTCGTGTCGGTGGGGATTTCGTGCGCGATTTTTTCAGAGTTACTAGGCCGGTCCTCAAAGACGGAGGAGTCTGCTGCAGAGTCCAACATAATGTGGGAAAATGGGACTGTGCTGAAAGTGCGCAGCGGCCTCCTTCCAAATGATCATATACGATGGGGTGATCGGGCGTCTGTGGTCGGTGGAGCGGATTTCCGGCCGAACTTGGATCTGCAGCTCGGTCCGCAGATGGAAATAAATTTATGGACTATCACCAACCGGACCGGAATGGCTTTTCCACATACAACACGAGCAGGGCCCATGTAACAGTGGAAGTCTCAATTCGCCTTATGTTATGCTCAATTGTTCCAATAATACATGCTCCTCCGTACATAAGCAATTCGCAAATATCCTAATCGCCACACATCCTGCACCACCGCAGTGCTACTCTACCTAACCCCTGACTACTCTACTACTGTCCCTGCAAATGCTCGACCGTCAACTGCACTGCAACTGCTGAAGCAACAAACGTGGCATTGCTCGCAGCATTGGGAACATCCTTCGCCACGGAGGCATGATCACCCGCCACAAAAACCCCCGGCACCGTGGTTTCCATCGTGACATCCTTCTGCTTGTAAATCCCATTTCCATCCCGCTCCAGCCCCAGCTGGCTGCTCCAGTCATTTGTAACGACTGTATCCGGCATATGCGTGAGGAACCCCACATCTATAAAGCTGCTAGGAGATTCCCCTCCGTCTCGTTGTCCCAGCCAGACCCGCAGGGTGTCTCGCGAACCCTCAGCAGCCGAAACAATTTGTTCGAACGAAAGAATTGGGCGAGGTTCAATGACGAACCCTTGCGCTTCCGCACCGGCTTCTTTCACGGCGACCGTGGTCTCTTCATTGCCGTTGGTGAATAAGGTTACTTTTTCGGCGAAGCGACGAACCATCTGTCCAAGAATCAGACCCACAGAGGGATTCGCCTGTAGCTGTGAACTCTCTGCTACCAGTAAACCTGCATTTGATGCGCCACGCTCCTCATACCCATGGCAGAAGAGGCAGTGGAATATGAGCCGGCCCCAGTTTTCAGCGTACCCGTCAATAGGGGGCATGATGTCGCGTATTCCCGTAGCGAGAACAAGCTTTGAACCCAAGTATGCAGTTCCATCTTCGTCAGTGACCTCGAAGCGGGTACCTGATCCGTCATGGGGTAGCTTGCGCGCTTGCATGATTTTCTTGTTGATGATAGTATTGGTGGTGTATCGATGCAGGAGGGTGTCGTGGATGGCGCCGCGGAAACGTGCAGGTTCCACATGCTAACGGCAACGCAGGAGTAATTAGCATGATAAATGGTGTGTAGGTAAGAAATGGAAGTAGCCTACATCAAATCCGAGGACATTATGCATGTGGGATGTCTGGCGGTTGCGATATTCCTGGCTGTCGAAAAGGAGTACCGAATGTAACTTGCGGGAGAGCGCCAGGGCCGTGGCGAGGCCGGCGGGACCACCGCCGATGATGAGCACGTCAGCTGTGGTAGCCATGCTTATTTTCAATTTGTAATTCTGTTTCTCCTTAATAGTTGTGGATTAATTAAACGTAAGCTAATCAAGTCCTTGAAGCGTGCGAAAAAAGAGGGGATTGCAGAGTCCGTTAAGTAGGGCTTCAGCCCGGTTTGGGATCTCGGACCGCGGATTACCGTAACGTTACAGTACCTCTCCACTGTTTTCCGGTGCGATTCCGATGCATCTTCTCTTTCGGCTCTGCAGCAATGGGCTTTACATTTGCCCTGTTAATTTATCAGAGGGTATGCTGCTGCAGCTCAGCCGCAAATCCGGTGTTATTCTGTTTGCTTTACCCTGGTTGGTTTTGCGTTAGTGGCACGGACGCCGGCAGCTGGAAACCGGTTACCAACGTGATGGATGAATATATATAGTGTGAATAGGTACTACTACAGTACGATAGTGACCACTAACATAGCAAGTTTCAGTCACCAGTGACTTCTTCTCTTGTCTTGATAGTATCCGGTGACATCTACCAGTATAATAGTTTCACCTGCACAATATGAGTCGCTTCTCCTGCATCTTCCCTACCTTGACGGATGGGTATGTCCCGAATCCGGATCACACTCGTGCCGCGGGTCGGCGCACATACACAATCGACCTGAGCGGATGGAAGGCCCCAGGCAGTGAGAAAGAATCGCATATTCTGGCGGCATGGGCCCTCGTTCTGTCCAGCTATGTGGGCACCGATGAAGTGGCCTTTTACGTTGTGCCTGTGACTGGTCCGGATACGACAGCATTAGCCGAGTTGAAGGTCGAGGGAGATATGTCTCGCCAGTCCCTCACTTGCGCTGCCGAGCAATTGTTGCACCCAGCACTCGTGGGTGCCGGCCAGGTTTCCAGAGAGACTGCCAATACCATCATCACCTTTGCGAACGATATTGAGTCACTATTTGTTACACAAACCGAGGTACGCGTGTCACCAGGCGTAGTACAGTGGCCTGGCTGGACTTCTGGACGCTGACGGACGTTTAGGAGTCGTTCCTTTCGTTGCAAGTTTATCGTAATGAGCAAGGACACATTTCACTATCACTTGTCTACTACCTATCTCTGTTGACCGACGCGCAGGCAGCAAATGTGGGTACTGCTATGGCCCAGGCGCTGGCCGAGGTAGGAACATGCGACAACGACAGGCTAATCAAGGACCTCAACCTTATGAGTCCGGCACACCTTGAGCACATCTGGCGGTTTAATGCCAATGTCCCCGGTATATGGGAAGAGTGTTTCCATGATGTGATTGAGCGACACGCCGTTAATCGACCACACTCTCTGGCGGTCGATGCCTGGGACACGAAGCTTACCTACGCCGATCTCGTAAGGGAGGCACGCCTGCTCGCAGCGTACCTCCAACAACGCGGCGTGCGTCCAGGCTCCGTGGTCCCCATTTCCTTCGAACGGTCGGGAGCAGCTCTGGTTGCTATGCTGGCTGTGTCCAAGGCCGGCGGAGCCTTTGTTAGCGTGCCCCCGAATCTCCCTGCCGGACGACTCGACGCCATCCTGGATGTCATCGAAGCACCGTTTGTGGTAACTTGGACGAAGTACGAATCGTTCTGGGCTGAACGTCTGCCTACGCTCCCTATCGACAACTATCCCAAGCCAGCTGCAGATGCGACGGTGGAAGCCCTCGGAAAGCCAGAGGACCTTTTCTACGTGATCTTTACTAGCGGCTCGACGGGCCGACCGAAAGGTTGCATGCTGTCCCATTCGAACTGGTTAAATGGTGCTCTCCGTAATGCCCCTAGTTGGAAGTATGGTCCCCAGAGCCGTGTCCTGCAAATGCTGAGCCACACTTTCGACATGAGTCTGCTGGAGATATGCACTAGTCTGGGATCAGGGGCTTGCGTGTGTGTGCCACGCACAGAGGAAATTGAAACCAGCATATCCGACGCCATCAACAGGTGGCAGGTTAATCATGTTATCATGACACCTTCACTTGCTCGCGCCTTGAGACCGGACGACGTGCCCGGGCTGAAGACAATGTGCTTAGGTGGTGAAGCCTTTCCCAAGGAGATAGTCACCATGTGGTCCGAGCGGATTAATCTCTGGCAGTTCTATGGCCCCAGTGAGTGTTCCATTAATTCGTCGTCGCGGCCGATCACACGGCCCGATGCGGATCCATTGAATATTGGTCCTCCCAACTCGGCTGCTTGCTGGGTAGTAGATGTACAGGATTACAATAAGCTGGTTCCCGTCGGCGCGATTGGAGAGCTACTTGTTTCTGGGCCCATTGTCGGCATGGGATACCTCAAAAATCCTGTCAAGACAGCCGAGGCCTTCCTTGATGAAGTTGAATTTGTGGCGAAGGATGATCCCCAGTTTGGTGGATTCCGATTCTATCGAACAGGTGATCTCGTGCGTTGGAACTCGGACGGTACTATCACCTTCTGTGGCCGTGCTGACACGCAAGTCAAACTCAATGGCCAGAGGCTCGAACTGGCCGAGGTGGAATATCAACTGGGGTTGGAGGCTGGCGTTCAATATGCCATTGCCATGGCACCTCAGGCTGGCCTGTGCAAGAACAACCTCCTTGCTATCCTCACCGTAAAAGGCACGAGCACTGGCAACCAGGATACGGCTGCCGACGAGATTCCACTGCTAGATCGCCGCGATCCGATCGTCCAGGAGACAGTGAAAAAGCTGCGTTCGCAACTTCAGCACGCTTTACCGCGCTACATGGTACCAACCATCTGGGCATTCGTTGGTCGCTTGCCCATGTCAGCTTCTGGCAAGATTGATCGCGTACAACTGCGGGACTGGGTACAGAAGATGAGCCAGGAGACTTTCGACGCAATCACTGGCCGCAGCTTGGAAGCGGAAGGTCATGTTCTCGGTCTCAGCCGGCTGGAGCAGGAGATCCAGCTCGCCTGGGCTGAAGCGCTGGGTTTATCCGCCGCTGAAGTAGGCCTGCAGCAGCCATTTGTTGCGCTAGGCGGAGATTCCATCAAGGCCCTAGATGCCGTAGCCAGATGCCGAGCTTGTCAGATCAAGATTAGCATGGTGCATATCTTGTCTTGCGAAGGCGTCCGAGAGGCTGCCTCTTTGGCAGAAGTGCAGGAGACCCCTGCTCAGCAGGTGGCAGAGATGGCAGTGGATTACTCGAATCTCTGGACCCGTTTGTCAAATGACTACGATCTTGGCAAGCTAGGTGTAACGCGGGTTGACGAGGTGGAGGATGTTTTCCCCTGCACCACCATGCAAGAGGGCATGTTCCTTGGCCAGATTCGTCGGCCTGGAGCCTACCACATGCGCTTCTTCCACCGCGTGCAGCTGAAGGGTGGTTGCCTGCCTACCGTCGAACGCATTCAGCAGGCCTGGGCATCCCTTGTCGAGAGACATCCCTCATTACGTACAGTCTTCGTGGACGATCTCTCCCCAGAAGCCATATACCATTCGATCGTGTTGCGGTCGGTTCCAATGGAGCTTAGAATGCGTGAGGTGCCGCGCGACCTCAGCGCTGAAGCCGCCCTCGCCATGTTCACGGAGGAGCTTGTGCCATTTCGTGCCAATGCCCCCTTACACCGCATGCTTTTGCTGACCTGCCGCGGAAGGGTACCG